TCCTAGCAACGTTCCTTGAGCCTGGATAGCTTGTTGGAAGCTGTCTTCGTTTGCCCCGTGCTGTTTCTCTGTTGGGTCCATGGCCAGATCGTTCTGTTAGGCTATGGTTAAACCCAGCACTCAGAGAAACAAAACACGACTAAGGGAGTGGAAGAAACAAAAATGCTTTTAATAAAAATTCAATTTGTCTTAGTCCAAAAAACAACTGAAGAAAAGGAACAGAGTGGGCTAGTCGGCTCCGGAGGAAGGAGAGGCTGAGGCAGGCAGTCAGGCAGGCAGGCAGGCAGGCAGGAAGGAAGGTTGGGAGGTATGTCTGAACTGAAGACAAAACAAACGACAGGTTAAGGAGAGTAAAGAGCCAGGCTGAAGACAAAGACAATTAAACTCTACTGGTGAGCTAAGTTACCGCTCTAGTAAGAACAACGATCTGGCGCCGGTGGAGAGCCATGCCCAGGAATTAGTAGTGCAGGTTGATGAGAGAATTGGATGCAGCTGCGTAGGCAGGAATCACTGGAAACAACCCGCAGCTGCACAGAAGAGGCAGATCCTGAGCACGCCCCCCGATCCACTCCAGACACACACCGGCAGACGCACCAACATAATGGGGACAAACCCACATACAGATACGACAGACAAAGAGGGGACAAAACAAGGAGGAAGGGAAACAGAAAAGGGAGAGACAAGCTGCCCACATAACATAAGGAATACCAAAAGCAAACTAGCTTTCCTAAAATGGTTTATGTAACAGCTCTATAGTCAGTTGTCATCAACTTCCCAATGTGTTTATAACCTGTTATGTCATTATTATGACAGTGCAATGTCAGCCAAGACAGAAAAGTCAAGTTAAGAGTCACCTTCCTTATATTGAGTTGCACTCCCCCTTTTGCCCTCAGAACAGCCTCAATTCATCAGGGCATGGGACTCTACAAGGTGTTGAAAGCGTTCCACAGGGATACTGGCCCATGTTGACTACAATGCTTCACACAGTTGTGTCAAGTTGGCTGGATGTCCTTTTGGTGGTGGACCATTCTTGATACACACGGGAAACTGAGTGTGAAAAACCCAGCAGCGCTGCAGTTCTTGACACAAACCGGTGCGCCTGGCACCTATTATCATACCCCCGTTCTAAGGCACTTAAATCTTTTGTCCTGCACATTTACCCTCTGAATGGCACACTTACACAATCCATGTCTCAGTTGTCTCAAGGCTTAAAAAACCTTATTTAACCTGTCTCCTCCCCGTCATCTACACTGATTGAAGTGGATTTAACAAGTGACATCAATAAAGGATCATAGCTTTCACCTGGTTAGTCTATATCATGGAAAGAGCAGGTGTTCTTTATGTTTTGTAGATTCAGTGGAGAGTTTTGGTATTTATTATTTGGTATTTATTAGGATCCCCATTAGCCGCTGCAAAAGCATCAGCTACTCTTCCTGGGGTCCACAGTTCAGGCCAATTAGATTAATATCCATAGATATCATATTCAAACCAAAGTGAACACGGAGGACATCATTGGTGTGTTATGGTGAGTGATCTTATTCTAAACATCTTCTTATAAAAAAATCGGAATCATTATTTTTACATACATGTTCTTCTATAATCAAATCAAATAAAATGTTATTGGTCACATACACGTGTTTAGCAGATGTTATTGCGGGTGTAGCGAAATGCTTGTGCTTCTAGCTCCCACACTGCAGTAATATCTAACAAGTAATATATACTGTAACAATTTCACAACATATACCCAAAACACACAAATCTAAGTAAGGAATTAATTAAGAATACAGTGGGGGAAAAAAGTATTTAGTCAGCCACCAATTGTGCAAGTTCTCCCACTTAAAAAGATGAGAGAGGCCTGTAATTTTCATCATAGGTACACGTCAACTATGACAGACAAGAAGAGATTTTTTTTCCAGAAAATCACATTGTAGGATTTTTAATGAATTTATTTGCAAATTATGGTGGAAAATAAGTATTTGGTCAATAACAAAAGTTTCTCAATACTTTGTTATATACCCTTTGTTGGCAATGACACAGGTCAAACGTTTTCTGTAAGTCTTCACAAGGTTTTCACTCACTGTTGCTGGTATTTTGGCCCATTCCTCCATGCAGATCTCCTCTAGAGCAGTGATGTTTTGGGGCTGTCGCTGGGCAACACGGACTTTCAACTCCCTCCAAAGATTTTCTATGGGGTTGAGATCTGGAGACTGGCTAGGCCACTCCAGGACCTTGAAATGCTTCTTACGAAGCCACTCCTTCGTTGCCCGAGCGGTGTGTTTGGGATCATTGTCATGCTGAAAGACCCAGCCACGTTTCATCTTCAATGCCCTTGCTGATGGAAGGAGGTTTTCACTCAAAATCTCAAGATACATGGCCCCATTCATTCTTTCCTTTACACGGATCAGTCGTCCTGGTCCCTTTGCAGAAAAACAGCCCCATAGCATGATGAAGAAGCATTTCAAGGTCCTGGAGTGAGGAACAATGGATTAGTGTATTGCTATATAAACGTGCATTCCTCTGTACATTATGCAAAGGTAGATCCTCCGTAGGCAAATAAAATAGGAGTCATATTCCATTGGGCACCAAAGGGAAGAAAACCTACTGAAACATATTACTAATGAACACAACCCAGGAAATAGTACATGCATGGCCAAAATGGTATTATACCCCATCTTGCTGAAAGTACTTTAAAGATTTTTGCCTTGGCACACAGTATTTCCCGTTACCACCATGCACTCAAATACGAAGATCTGGGGTTCTATGTGTCAAGCGTCTTAGAGTAGGAGTGCTGATCTAGGATCAGATCCGATCCCTCCAGTTCATAATAGTCTCATTCATTATGAGCTAAAAGGCTAAACTGATCCTAGATCAGCACTCCTACTCTGAAAAGCTTGATACATAGAACCCCTGAGCAAAGGAAAGCAGAAGCTGGAGAAGCGACAACCTGCTCTATTGGCGAGGGTGTGTAGCCAATAGTCTCACCACGATTATGACCCTGAGTGGAACCTTGTATATAACAAAGTCAAAAAGTCTGAAAAAGTCACTGCTTTCTTCTAATGAGTCTTCACAAAAAGGCTGTGCATGAAACAAAGGGTAACTGGGTCTAAAATTCTATCAAAAACATTACACAGTCCCCGGGAAAAGCTTTCGACAGCCGCCATCTCTCTTCCTGTTGCAGTTCAACTTATCAAACCAAACAGTTTAAACAGGAGAAAATTAACCATGGTGCCACAAAACTACCAATTACTAGTAAATGGAACCACCTGAAAATGTACCTACAACAACATCATCAATTGTCAATGTAGAACAACTACAAAGAAACACAGAGAATTGTAAAATAAAATAAAATGCTACAAAGGGTTAAAGCTACACTCAGCAAGTTGACATCATCATAAAAAATGGGGCAACTTCCTACTTACAGACAACGGTCGTGTTCCTTATGCTCAGACGTTGCTGACACATGCCAGATCTTACAACGCCTGGATAAGCATTATGTATCAGCTAACCACATTATATGTTATCGTAATTTGGTGCCCGCCGGCACAGTCGATGACGTGGTACGCAACCATTGATTGATGCATGCAACGTCAGAGCGAGGGAACGTGACCAACATCATCAAGACAATACAAATCTGCCAAGACTGAAATGATTAGCTATTCCCAATGTGGGCGTGCCACAAGGGCGGATGCAAATTGATACATTTGTTTAATAATGGTATTCTTGGCAGATTTGAATTATGTTGTTGCTGTTGTCTAATGTTGTTCTGGTGATGATGTCATCTTGCTAAGTGTACCTTTAAGAGTCCAGCTGGCTGCACCACCATCAGGCACATACAGTGTAGACACTGCAGGGTTTCCTCAGATTTCTTCAACCTAGCACTTTCTCAGGATATTGTTGTAAAGGAACATCCACGTTGGGGATCGGCTTTCTGCAATATCCCTATAATATTATCTCAAGGATATTATCCGTATTAGGCTATATGGATAATATCTAAAGAATCAAACGTTATCTGAGACACAGAATCATGCGCTGCACTGAGGAAGGAAATGGGGTAGCTAGTGAAGGGGAAGAAAAGGATTCTGTATCCTTCGTTCTGATGCTTGACCATACCATAGCAGAGCTGAAATGACTGACAACTAACAACAATATCTTTCATTACTTGTTCCACTCAAACAAGTAGGTTGACCAAAGCTCAGCTACTTAGTGAAAGGTTTTGAACTGGATGTCAAATAAATGAGCAGGTTTATGTTTACGTCATTAGTTTAACATATGTGCTAACAAAGCATATTCGCTAACAAAACAAGTTCCTGAAGAAAACGTCTGCATTGAAAGATAAACAACGCATGTTTGCTAAAGAAATATTTGCATAAAAAAAGCTATAACGCTTGCTAATCAAGCAAATGTGCTGACAAAAGCATGCTGGAAAAAACTTGCTTGATAAAGAATCATTGTTTATGAACAGAACATGCTTACAAAACATGTTCCTAACAAAGCGTTTTGTGAAAAAATATTTAGCTAAAGATATTGGCACTTCACATGCCAAGTTATGATTACTGCCACCTTACAAATATGTTGGTATTGCAAGGTTTATGCATTCATCTGAAATCTTATTTTCTGATAAGGAGAGTTGTAACCTTAAACACGTACATAAATTCAGAAAAGGAAAATCATTTTAAAAAATCTGGCCATTGTTTCGGAAGCTCAATCGCTACTAGAGCACATAAAACGATTCATTCGCAGATCGGACGATAATTAAGAAGATGCCTCGATCGCCCCAATCTGGTAATCCACGTGGCTAATTCCGAGAAGTGATTCTGCTGCCGGTACCCTGAGTCTATATTGTCTTTTCTACAGCCTCTGTTCCATGGCCTTGTCCATCAACCTGCTCCAGTCTGCCTTTACCCACCCCACCAACCCCCCAGAGAAGTGGTAGAGGAGGGTAGGGGTCGGGATATCACCTTCCCTTCCCCTCTCTCTTCCCACTCCATCTCTATCTCTCACTGCTGCGCCTCTTTGGCCTGGGGCTGGGCCTGGGCCTCAGGTTGGGCCTGCTCCTGGGGAGGCCTGGCTGGGGCTGGGCCCGGGGCCGGGGGAGGAGGGGGCATGGCCGGGTGCTGTCTCTGGCGGTAGGCGATGACTGTGCCTAGCAGCAGGGCGATGACCGTCATGAGGTAGAGGTCCCACTCGGGGCCCAGGAGCTGGTCCAGGTCCACCTGACTGACCACCTCACTCATCTGGTGGAGGGGGGAGGGAGGATGGAGAGAGATTATACAGGGAGGGGGAAGGGAGAAAGAGAGAGAGAGCATTGATTACATTAAACAAACATAATACAATCCTATGAATCCTGTACAAACGTAATAGACTACAACTAGGCTATGTTTGCCTCAAACATTGAGCCTGGCCCCCATGAGTTGAAATGACCTGGGAAACTGAAACTCCCAGAGGCACCGGGTCCAAGAATCGCTCTGTACTGTACACTCACGTTGAGGTCGTGCAGGTATTGCAGGGTGTAGACCAGGCCCAGTTTCCACAGAGCCAGGAAGACTGGCACCTGGGCTTCGGGACTAGCCTCGGCAGCCATGTCGTAGAAACGCTTGACCAGGTGGATGTCCTACAGGCAGTGGCGGTTTTACACGGAGGCCGGGGGAGGCCCGTGCCTCCCTGGAAATGTCCCTGGCCACCCCTGTGGCCCCCCCGTGCTGACCAAATAAAAAATTATGAATTTATAACTATTTTACACGCGAGCGCCAAAAGCGGAACTAATGCAACGCTCTACACGGCAACGTTCTACACGGGTAAATTAGAGTGGCGCACCCAAAAACTGTATCCTGCCATCTGCCTGCCTGCCACGTGTGGTGCTGCTTCGGTGAATGAGAGCTCAGCAACTACTATTTGCGAGAGGAGCTACGATTTGCAGGAGTCGAAGGTAAGAAAAACGATTTAATATCATAAGTGACTTGTTGTTCTTGCACATAGCCTACATGTTCCTTTTGTTCCTCACACATAAATCAAATCAAGTTTTTAAATGTCTGGTCTCGATTTGTTTAGAAATGTAATCATATCTAAGCAAACTCATCGAAGCAGAAGCAAATATCCAAATGTTAGTAGGCTATCCTTGCTAGGTCTACACAATGTTGTGATGTTAACCACGTAACTTCATCCGTCTTGGCTGTTGCATCGCGATAACAAATACATTTACCAGTAGTTCCTACAGTACCAGTAGTTCCACACACTACTAGAGTGTATGTATGTTTGTATGTATGTATATATATCCCACCAATCCTCTCTCAAGAGGTTTTCAAAAAGGGGCAAACTCATGTCTCAAGACCTGCTTCTGTTGGTTCCCCTCTCCTGCCTGTAACTTTCCATCCACATCCCCAAAGTTTTGTGGCCCATTATGACATCACTCCATTAAGTGATTGCTGCATGTACTGCTCTAAGGAAACACTTCTCTCTCTCTCTCTCTCTCTCTCTCTCTCTCTCTCTCGATAGATAGATAGAGTTTATGATTTTATTCTTTTGAATTATCTCTGCCAAACATCTATGTACTACAAATCTTCAAGCTCCACAGATGTTTTATGGCATCCACTAAACCTCTTTAGATATTTGTAAATTATACAGTGTGATACCTTTCAACGAAAGTTTATTTTATTTTTTACCAACTATGATTTTTCCTTTTGAAAACAAGCAAAGCAAGAAAAAAAAGAAACAAAATCACTCCAATCATTGCACACTTGTGTCGTTCAGACTTTGCAGGTCCAGCTTTGACATGATGATCTAACTAACACTAATATTGTAACTAATATTGTAACTGAAATATGTATGATCCTATGATGAGCGATTGCTTACTTCCCTTTCACTCTTAAAAAATTACTGAAAAAAAATGTGTATAAAAAGGTATATGTAGTATATGTTTGTTTAGTGAGCATTCATGCTGTCATTTTTTCCTAATGTGAACTATGGTGGAAATGTGCTGTCCTAAATGGACTTGCCCATATATGTTGTAAAGCCTTTTTTTGTACACCTGCTCATCAACTGACAGTGAAGTACACAAAGACACAGACACACACACACACACACACAGACACCTGTAATATTCTTGTTTTCATGTTGTTGCTGATATCCATCAGTGTTGTTCATATTGCTACATTGTGTTGACATGATTGTTGCTTTTAAACTAATGTTAACTTAATGTTTATTGTCTGCATCCTATTGGACTACTGGATGTTAATGTGTAACACGTTTCCCTGTTTATGTGCTTTAGCAATACTGTATGTCAATATGGTCATGCTAGTAAAGCCTCTTTGAATTGAATTTATTTTCTGATTTGGTTTATTTTACCTAAATGGATACAGGGTAGTGTGTTTTGTTTATAAATCACTCAGAAAGTTTTCTTTCTTAAAACAAAATGTGGAATCAACTGTCCACAGTAGTGGGGCTTCCATAAATAGGAAATGGCACATTGTTGTACCCTTTGTTGTATCCTGGAGTTTTGTTCACATTGAATATGAACCCTGTATTCGTACCCTGTACTTTTTAATTTGTTTTTATTTATTTATTTTTTCATTTTTATGGCACTATCTCTCTTGCATCTGCACTCTTGTACAAAATACGTGTTATAATAAATGTCATATGATTTTAAAGTAAAATAAAGTTTATAATCTTTGAATATCATGTGTTGCCAGTTTTTTTATGAGTGCCCCCCTGATTAAACACTGGCCCCTCCTTGGCCCCCCTAGTAAAATGTGTCTAGAACCGCCACTGCCTACAGGAAGGGGAAAGAGTAAGGGGTTAGACTTATAGGGTTGCGTGTGTGTATGATTGAGTGTGTGTGAGTGTGCCCACCTGTTTGATGCCCAGGCCTTTCTCGTGCATGTAGCCCAGGTTGAACATGGCCTGAGTGCTGTGCTGCTGCTCCGAGGCCAGCCTATAGTGTATGACAGCGGTCTCGTAGTCCACGTCAGTACCGTAACCGTAGAAGTGGTAGTCCCCCAGCTTTATCCTAGCCACTGTATAACCTGAGCCCAGTTTTTCAAACCAAATGTCATGGGGATCATATACCATGATCTTTGTTGTAGCATATAATGGGATATGTTGGAAAATGTGTAGAATTGCAGGAAATTTGCTTTAAAACTGCAAAAATGTCTCCGTGCCCCATGGCAAAATGAGTAGAATTGGTTGAAAATTGTTATAAAATTACAACATTTTTGCTCCGCCCCTGGCAAAATGTGTAGAACTGCAGAAAACTTGCTTTAAAACAGCAATCATTTCTCTCTGCCCCATGGTAAAATGAGTAGAATTGCATGACATTTGTTATAAAATTACAAAATTGTCTCTCTGCCCGATGACAAAATGCATAGAACTGCAGAAAACTTGCTTTATCAGTGCAACATTGTCTTTACGCCCCATGGCAATATGTGTAGAATTGCAGGAAATGTACTTTAAAACGTTTTTTTTATTTTTTATCCCTGCTTGGTGGGGGGGCCTCCCAACCAAATTTCGCTAAGGGCCCCCAAAAGGCTAGAGCCAGCCCTGTCTATAATAATGGCTAATTGGCTGTGTGTGGAGGTCAGTTCCCTTGTGCTACTAGCTCTATGACCAATCCTTTATGCTTTCTGTATAACTGGGCCCGGACTTTGTCACTCAGCTGTTTTGGGTGGGGGAGATAAGTTTGGCCTCATATAATGGCCGTGCCCTCTGGCCGCGCATCACATTGTGCTGTCCCCACACACCACACACCACTATGGGGTGGCTTTTGATTGCCGTGGCAACCTGTGCGCTAGCCTCCTCTGTCAAAGGTAAGTGCTGGAACCAGCAGGAGATCGGCCTGCACAGAGTCCCTATCTGTGCATATTTCACATTTTACACACACACACACACACACACATTCCCACACACATTCCACACACATGTCAGTTACTGTGGCCACATTGTTGGGCGAGCAGTTTTTTTCTGAAAGAGGGGCCTGGCTTGGGTAGGTCGCTGCTGGTTTAGATAATGGAGGACCTGTTCACAAAGGAACATCAGGGGTTTCAAAAGTTAGACATATAAAAGTTTGGCAGCCTGCAGCGATGATAATGAAGACTACAGAAGTAGATCGTAATCACAACAGGAAAAATATGCTTTCCGCATATCCAGACTTCAGTTGCTCTTGGTCTTTTGTATTGGCTGGGTTATGTAAGCAACAGGACAAACCCAGCAGGCAAAACTGATTGTAATGACATCATAATGATGTCATTTCAACCAGTTTCTGGTTGTTGTATTGACATAATTCCAACCAGTTTTGCCTGCTGGGAAGAGAACCCTTTATGGATACTGTCTCCTTCTAAGGCAACAAGTGGTGGTGGCAGTATGAGGAAGGCATACGACACTACAGCCAGGAGGCTCTCCACAAGGTACTGTCCACTTTGACCCTTTTATCATCTTGGTGTAGGGTGAAGTTGCCCCTAGATGCTGATGTTGGAGCAGTTTTACATTTTCCCCACTAATGGTTAAGGTTAGGACTGGGGGCAGGGAAGGTGATCCTAGATTTGTACCTAGGGGAAACTTCACCCCAGAGCTTTTATCTTCAGTATGTGCCTTCGGTAAACTTTGGTAATGGAGAGGCCTTCATAACACGTTTATAGCAATTAATGGAACAAGTTTAAATTCTCTTTCATCAATGGTATTTTGATTGAATGGTTAGTTAGTGCTTATAAATGTGTTATGTCATCTCACATCAAGGGCACCTGTGCTAGATATTGATCGATGTTAATTAAGCATTTGTTACCTAACTTGAATTACCTGAAGATACTTCATTGGTCTGTGTGCACATCACTTACACATTGGTATGTGTAGTTGTACATCATGCTACAGTTAAAGGGATAGTTCACCCAAATTACAAAATGACATATTGGATTCCTTGCCCTGTAAGCAGTCTATGGACAAGGTATGACAGCAATCCATGCTTTGGTTTGTTTCCCTGGCACTGTTTCCAAATGCTTACGTTTTAGAATTTGTGCCACAAATCCCATTTAAGTCATGGGACCGATATTAGCATGATTTGAACATGATGTGTGAAAAATGCAAATGTTGGTCCCATGACTTGAATGTGATTGGTGCCACATGCTAAAACGTTACCATTTGGAAACAGTGCCAGCCACTGCCAGGGAAACTACACCAAACCATGGATTGCTGTCATACCTTGTACATAGACCGCTTACAGGTTAGGAAAACCAATTTTGTAATATGGGTGAACTTTCTCTTTAATGACATGACTGAATGATTCTGCTATGACTACATGACCTTGTTTGTTTGTTATTCAAGTTAATATTCAGTGTCATGTCAGGTTATCTGAATGTTTGTAGCTGTTTGTTCTGTATTGATAGCAATTGACACACACACACACACACACACACACACAGTTGTATCTTCTTAGACTTCTTAAACTCAGTTCAACCCATTAGAGGTTGGAATATCTTTCTGGTCTGATGTGGATTGTTGTTCCCTTGCAACTCGTATTGGTACCAGGGGACCATAGTTTTCCATATTATAAACAGAAATCTGGACATACATATTTACTGCGTTCTACCTTCTATCTGTATGTCTATTATTTTCTCTCCTTCCCTCTCATTCCTGTTTCAGGAGTTTCCAGAGAAAACCAGACCAGGGAACTTCACACATTCTCCTTTCCAATGTCCTGATATGAGTCGCTCGCCCACTGTCCCCTCCTCAGGTAAGATGGAACCATCCTTGATTTAGAGTTGATTTAGAAAGTCAATATGTGAACTGATCCCAGGCCAGCCTTATTCTCTAACTCAAAGGTGTGGTTTCCGGGACACAGATTAAGCCTAGTCCTGGTCTAAAAAGCAAACTCTATATGGTGAGCGACTATCGGAAATTATTTTAAATCCAGTACTATGCTTAATCTGTGTCTGGGAACGCGGTATTAATGTAAGCTTGTGGGATCAGGCGGCTTTGCGAGGCTAGGAAACAAGGCCATAATGTCCAGCACTGGGAACAGGGTTTTGGGGGCAGATCCTAGACCAGTGCTAAGAGACATCTTCAACTGCCTTCTCTCTGAGTAAATACTGTATGTCAGGAATCATTAACTAGATTAAGCCACAGGCCGATATTTTCTTGAGCGGATGGTCAGGGGGTCGGAACATAATTACAAATAATATGTAGACTAAATTGACGGCAAGACGCCCAACAGATATAATATTAGACTAAAACATAATCATTTAAAACCTTGCTTGCATTTGTATATGATCACATACAGTGCATTCGGAAAGTATTCAGACCCCTTGACTTTTTCCACATTTTATTACATTGCAGCCTTATTCAATATATACACAATGCCTCATAATGACGAAGTAAAAACAGGTTTTTAGACATTTTTGCACATTTATTAAAAATAAAAGTATTCAGAGACTTTGCTATGAGACTCGAAATTGAGCTCAGGTGCATCTTGTTTCATTGATCATCATTGAGATGTTTCTACAACTTGATTGGAGTCTACCTGTGGTAAATTCAATTGATTGGAGATGATTTGGAAAGGCACACACCTGTCTATATAAGGTCCCACAGTTAGCGGTGCATGTCAGAGCAAAAACCAAGCCATGAGATCGAAGGAATTGTCCGTAGAGCTCCGAGACAGGTTTGTGTCGAGGCACAGATCTGGGGAAGGGTACCAAAACATTTCTGCAGCATCGAAGGTCCCCAAGAACACAGTGGCCTCCATCATTCTTAAATGGAAGAAGTTTGGAACTACCAAGACTCTTCCTAGAGCTGGCCGCCCGGCCAAACTGAGGAATCGGGGGAGAAGGGCCTTCGTCAGGGAGGTGTCCAAGAACCCGATGGTCACTCTGACGGAGCTCCAGAGTTTCTCTGTGGAGATGGGAGAACCTTCCAGAAGGACAACCATCTCTGCAGCACTCCACCAATCAGGACTTTATGGTAGAGTGGCCCGACGGAAGCCACTCCTCAGTAAACAGCACATAACAGCCCGCTTGGAGTTTGCCAAAAGGCACTTAAAGGACTCTCAGACCATGAGAAACAAGATTCTCTGGTCTGACGAAACCAAGATTGAACTCTTTGGCCTGAATGCCAAGCGTCACGTCTGGAAGAAACCTGGCACCATCCCTATGGTGAATGCATGGTGGTGGCAGCATCATGCTGTGGGGGTGTTTTTCAGCAGCAGGGACTGGGAGACTAGTCCGGATCGAGGGAAAGATTAACAGAGCAAAGTACAGAGAGATCTTTAATGAAAACCTGCTCCAGAGCGCTCAGGACCTCAGACTGGGGGCGAAGGTTCACCTTCCAACAGGACAACGACCCTAAGCACACAGCCAAGACAACACAGGAGTGGCTTCGGGACAAGTCTCTGAAAGTCCTTGAATGGCCCAGCCAGAGCCCGGACATGAACCCGATCGAACATCTCTGGAGAGACCTGAAAATACCTGTGCAGCGACACTCCCCATCCAACCTGACAGAGCTTGAGAGGATCTGCAGAGAAGAATGGGAGAAACTCCCCAAATACAGGTGTGCCAAGCTTGTAGCGTCATACCCAAGAAGACTTGAGGCTGTAATTGCTGCCAAAGTTGCTTCAACAAAGTACTGAGTAAAGGGTCTACTTATTTAAATGTGATATTTCCATTTTTTATTTATTATTTGCTAAAATTTCTAAAAACCTTTTTTTGCTTTGCCATTATGGGGTATTGTGTGTAGATTGATGAGAAGAAAATAACTATTTAATCCATTTTAGAATAAGGATGTAACGTAACAAAATGTGGAAAAAGTCAAGGGTACCACAAATGCACTGTATATCTCTCTGCTATGAGTGGGAATACTTTGGAACAGATTCCAAAATGTAAATTACTTGGAGCTTATTTGCTAGTATTTTGTGTAAAGCAATATTTTATATTTTTGTATTATTATTATTATTATTATTATTATTATTATTATTATTATTATTATTATTGCACAGAACTTGGGGGGCCAAATGAAATCACTGGCAGGCCGCCAGTTGGGAAACCCTGCTGTATGTTGTCAGTGTGGGAGTTGAACAATTGAATCAATGTTTCTAGTGTAATGGTGTTGGATTCGTAACCTCACTCCCCAGCTTGAAATCGAATCGCTAGCTTGAAATCGAATCACGCTATCGTATCGCTAGCTTTTCTAGTGTAATAAGCAAAGACGTTTTCTAGCAGGTGGTCACGTATCTTTGCGAGGCAGAGGGTCCCTGGTCCAAGCCCAATGAGGGACAGGGACACGAAAGGAAGCAAGCACAGTGACACACCTCTTAAATTAGCCCTGTACAACCTAATATGATATGTGGACAGTGTAGAAGGCCACCTGGGTCAGCAATGTGTGCATGATGGCTGGTCATTATAAATCTCTCTCTCTCTCAATATCCACCAATGTGTCCTTTCTCTTGACTTTGACTCTCTTCTTGCTCTTTAGTTGAGTTGGTTAAGGCGGCGGATATTAAAGTCATTGCTGCCCTGGGGGATTCTCTGACGGTGAGTTCAATGTTGTGTTTGTCTTAACACATAAACACTTTACACTTGACACTTGACCAGATTTTTTGGGGCTGTGGGTGTTACTTAAAGGGGCAATCCGTGATTGGTACATCCATTTTCCATCTCACCAAAATGATTTGTTTTTCTTACACTAGAAGGGCACTATCATAATTTTCACAATTTCACAGTATTATTCCAACCTCATAGTGTGGAAATGTATATGAAACACAGGAAAATCACGTTTTTGACTGCACTGGGCCTTTAAAACTATAATTTTGATCTCATGGATGGTCAGTCCTCGCATCCATAGCTCAGTGTGAATTTAAGAGTGGTTACATTTCTCCAGCCTCATCCCTCAGCTGTTTACCAAAACAAGTGATGGGATGTCTGCTTTGTTGTTTTTAAAATCCTGTATTTCCCCTTTAAAGCAACTGGTGTGTCACCTTTTCAAAACTGAAACTAATAAATGCAAAACCATGCATCCACATCTATTATATTGGAGCAGTTTCACTCAACGCTGCATGGAAATATATGGAAAGTAGTTACTGTAATGAGTTTAACTGAACTGTCTGGACTGGACAAATACAACTAACCAATTCATTTAAAGCAGTTTTTGGCTCAAGACCTCAATTCATTTAAACCATTAAACCACCACAGGTCAGGGCTAGAAATTCTGTTCAGGCCAGTGAGAAGAAAAAGTTAACATTGAACTCATTCAGGCATATTGCTATAATCATAATATCAAATAAAATCACATTTTATTTGCCACATGCTTACTTACAAGCCCTTAATCAACAATGCATTTTTGTACGTTTTTTATTTTTTTAAGTGTTAAGTGTGGTCCTCTGTAGCTCAGCTGGTAGAGCACGGCGCGTGTAACGCCAAGGTAGTGGGTTCGATCCCCGGGACCACCCATACACAAAAAATTTATGCACGCATGACTGTAAGTCGCTTTGGATAAAAGCGTCTGCTAAATGGCATATTATTATTATAAGTTAAAGAAATAAAAATAAATAACTAAAGAGCAGCAGTAAAATAAAATAATAGTAGGGAGGCTATATACAGGGGGGTACCGGTGCAGAGTCAATGTGTGGGGGCACCGGTTAGTCGAGGTAATTGAGGTAATATGTACATGTGGGTAGAGTTAAAGTGACTTTGCATAAATAATAAACAGAGTAGCAGCAGCGTAAAAACTGAATTTGCTGATCTTTGGCACGTATGTCAATGTCATAGTTGAATCATCTTTGACCATTCATTGTAATCCTGTCTCTATCATACTGGAAGTTACTGTTTCGATTAACATACTGTAGTTTGCTATTTTTAAAAATGTGGTTACTGTCTCACTGGAAAGCAAAGTAGGTATAATCATATGACTCATAGTCAAACACCTTGTGGTTGATTATTTGATGAATTGCTATATGGACTGTCTTGCCCTCTCTATTCAGACCGCCATAGGTGCCAATGCCACCAACGTCCTTGGGATTCCTATCGAGTTCCGTCACGTGTCATGGAGGTACCCAATTAATTGTCTTTAGATGAGAATATGACAACAGAATATGACAAGAATTACGAGAATAAGAATTGTATCAAGATGACAACTTTACATAGTAATGTATGCTTTCTTGTCCTGTATTTGGGTATTCTGAATGATAGTTCTCAGTCTAATAATAATCATAATTTGGAAGTAATGTAATTGTCTTTGAATGACAACTTGATGACACTATAGTGGAAAATGTCTTGTACCTTGCAGCATCGGGGGCCATGGATCATACCAAGATGTCATTACACTGGCAAGTAAGTGCCTTTAGACTCAAATAGCACCTTGAGCTTAGTAGGAATATTAGTCATTCATTGGCACAAATTAATTCTAACCAGCCTGATCTTGCCCAGCCTGGTCCCAGATATGTTTGTGCTGTTGCCAACTTAATTGCTATCATTGTAAAGCCAAAGATGGCAATGAGTGAGAAGGAGTTGGCATAATAGAACAAGAGTACTGGCACTCAGGCTATATCTTGCATTGTTTTTGCCTGGTTATGGTTAGGTTTGAAGCAATAGCAGATCCAATATCTATGGTTAGAGGCAACATCTACCTTGAGGATAGAATGCACAGTGACCTATCATCCTTCATGTTCTACCTGTGTGAGCGTAAGGTGTAGGGTGAAGTTGCCCCTAGATGCTGATCTGAGGTCAGTATTGCATTTCCCCCACAAATGAAATGACGTAAATGTAAATGTAAATGTAAATGGTTAAGGTTAGGATTGGGGAGGGGAAGCTTATCCAAGATCTGTACGTAGTGGAAACTTCACCCTGGAGATGAAGACAAAGGAAGAGAATGTGCTCAACTCTAAATCCTCTTGTGTAACCCAATAGAAAGGGTGCTTGGAACCAAAAATCAATCACATAAAAAAGGCCAGCACTCACTTATATATACATATATATTCATATATACAGTACCAGTCAAAAGTTTGGACACACCTACTCATTCAAGGGTTTTTCTTTATTTTTACTATTTTCTACATTGTAGAATAATAGTGAAGACATGAAAACTATGAAATAACACATATGGAATCATGTAGTAACCAAATTTTTGTTATATTTTGATTTAGATTGATGACAGTTTTGCACACTCTTGGCATTCTCTCAACCAGCTTCATGAGGAATGCTGTTCCAACAGTCTTGAAGGAGTTCCCACAAATGCTGAGCACTTGTTGGCTGCTTTTCCTTCGCTCTGCGGTCCAACTCATCCCAAACCATCTCAATTGGGTTGAGGTCGGGTGATTGTGGAGGCCAGGTCATCTGATGCAGCACTCCATCACTCTCCTTCTTGGTCAAATAGCCCTTACACAGCCTTGATGTGTGTTTTGGGTCATTGTCCTGTTGAAAAACAAATGATAGTCCCACTAAGCCCAAACCAGATGGGATGGCATATCACTGCAGAATGCTGTGGTAGCCATGCTGGTTAAGTGTGCCTTGACTTCTAAATAAATCACTGACATTGTCACCAGCAAAGCACACCATCACACCTCCTCCTCCATGCTTCACGGTAGGAACCACACATGCGGAGATGATCTGTTCACCTAAGCTGCGTCTCACAAAGACACGGCAGTTGGAACCAAATATCTCAAATCTGGACTCGTCATACCACCGGTCTAATGTCCATTGCTCATGTTTCTTGTCCCAAGCAAGTTTCTTCTTATTATTGGTGTCGTTTAGAAGTGGTTTCTTTGCAGCAATTCGACCATGAAGGCCTGATTCATGCAGTCTCCTCTGAACAGTTGATGTTGAGATGTGTCTGTTACTTGAACTCTGTGAAGCATTTATTTGGGCTGTAATTTGAGGTACAGTTAACTCTAATGAACTTATCCTCTGCAGCAGATGTAACTCTGTGTCTTCCTTTCCTGTGGCGGTCCTCATGAGAGCCAGTTTCATCATAGCACTTGATGGTTTTTGTGACTGCACTTGAAGAAACTTTCAAAGTTCTTGAAATGTTCCGTATTGACTGACCTTCATGTCTTAAAGTAATGGTGGGCTGTCGTTTCTCTTTGCTTTTTTGAGCTGTTCTTGCCATAATATGGACTTGGTCTTTTACCAAATAGGGCTATCTTCTGTATACCAACCCTACCTTGTCACAACACAACTGATTGGCTCAAACGCATTATGAAGGAAATAAATTCCAGAAATTAACTTTTAGCAATGCACACCTGTTAATTGAAATGCATTCCAGGTGACTACCTCATGAAGCTGGCTGAGAGAATGCCAAGAGTGTGCAAAGCTGTCATCAAGGCAAAGGGTGGCTACATTGAAGAATCTCAAATATAAAATATATTTGGACACTTTTTTGGTTACTACATGATTCCATATGTGTTATCTCATAGTTCTGATGTCTTCACTATTATTCTACAATGTAGAAAATAGTAAAAACAAAGAAAAACCCTGGAATTAGTAGGTGTATCCAAACTTTTCACTGGTACTGTATATGTTTTTATTTTTATAATTATTTTTCCTGTGTGAACTCTCCTTGGCATGTGCTCTAGATATCGTAAGGCTTTTCAATCCCAATGTGCTTGGTGCTGCACCGGCCAAGACTGTCCATGGAACCTCAGCCCCACTCAGCGAAACAGGATTCAACCTGGCCGTGACTGGACACAACACCTTGTAAGAAACCACTATGGTGAAATATGCAAATATACTGTCTGTCTGCCTGAGAGTGAACCAATGAAAGTGATGCATAGAGTTGCGTGCACTAAAAAGCTAGTTTGGGCCATGGTACTGGCACAATGCTTGTATAACACAGTGGTCTAATGTCTCATAGCATATCTAAACTAAGTTTTAAGTGGCTGCAGATTTGAGTTACAAGACTGCACATTTGAGTTACACTAGTCTCACATAGCCATACCTCGAAATCACGTTGTTGTCACACCTCGTTTCTCGATGAGGCTAGAGTTACATACACAATCTGACAATTTCAACGATAATGTGTAGCTGCTGGTGCTACACTCATTTGTTTTGTTTCATTACACATTTTTGACCATGTCCTTATTGTTCATTTAATTCTGTAACAGCTCAAAATAATCTCCTATTTTGGATGTTCGTTTTGAAGTTTTTGATTTCGACTTTTGAAAATAAGTAATGAATGTCAATCTTAGATATGGAAAGATGGCACACCTACTATCCTTGCGCAGGGGTGTCTTCTGTGACGCCATGGACAGAGTAATTGATGGCTATCTCCATTTTAAAGTAGTCAATTACTTATTTTTCTACTTGCAAGAGTGTATTGGCAGTTCGTAAATAAACTGAAAAGGTGCATACCACCACCTGTTGTGCTGGAGTGTGTATAGTCTGAACCGGTATAAAGCCAAGGTCGGTGATTTACTGCCACCTGCAGTTATGGAATGTTTGCTCAGGAGTATAATTCATTGGCTGACCCCTCCCGCTGATCTGATAGGAATTATGGCGCTCCCCGGGGTTGCTCTCTAGCCAACTCTATGGTGACACTAGCCTTGACTAACCTTTCTCTGATAATGGGGTCACCACCTTATGTTCTGAAAGACTCATATTTCCCAGTGTTCCTCCTCATAATATTATCTGCCTATTCCATGCTAAGATAGGACATTGTGTCACAGTTTTGACCTTCACTAATTTCACAATTAAAGTTATTTTATGACACAACACACTCAGTACAATTTTTTTGTTATGCACAGCTCACAAAATAACAAAATGCTGCTAATTTTGAAAAACAAACAAACACATTTTGTCTGATTCTGCCGCTTGTAAATTCAGTATTTCTGTTATTCAATAAAATGTGCAAATGTTAATTCACGTCATTAATACTATTGGAGACATATTTCGCATTTAAAATGCTTAAAGCTATAGTCTGGGATTCAAAAAACAACAAGAAACTGGCCGCCCTGCCTCTTGTTTTGGTAAACAGCTGAGGGATGGGGCTGGAGAAATTGTTGGAGCTATGGATGCAAGGACTGACCATCCATGAGATCAAAATGATAGTTTACCTAGTTTGAAGCTATACAGTGTTTACAATAACATTAAAACAAGCTTATATTTGGTGTGGTCGGATGGGGTAAGACAGTTGAACTAAGCTCATGAGTGTTTATAAGTTACAATCAATGGCTATCGTCAATTGAAAGTCCAAAAATGTATGTACCAATAGCAGACTGTAGCTGGTGCTTTTTGCTCAGTGATATGATGTGTATTGTAATGTTGTGTAACTGTCCCTTAGTAATCTACCAGGGCAGACCAGACATCTCATTGACACACTGAGAAACTATGAGGTAAGAACCCCATTATGTTTCCAAAACCCTGTTATATTCAAACTCGTCTGATAAGAACTTATGATATTTAGACCTTATCACTGAAAATGGTAGCCTAGGTGCCAGTGTGTTTCTGCTTTAGCCAACTGAAGAACAACAGAACTCAAAAACGACATCAGGTGTTTAGAAGTGTGTACCATTCGATCTCATCAGTGCTATATGTGGTTATGAAGGTTATGGTAATACTATATTAGTAATACCATAAACAGATGTGAAATTGGTAATATTTACATTTCAATACCAAACCAAAGCTTTGGGGAATCATTATCTTGCCAAAATAAAACAGCTAGACAAACAGACTGGCACCCACCTGGGATTTGATTATGATTACATTTGATATCAACAACCCTCTTTTCAAACCAATGTGTAAGAATGCTTTATTGATTTGAATAGCAATTTTAGTACAGTGGTAAAGTAAGTACTGACTGACTACTGTATCCCCTCTTTCATCCTTTTCTTTCCTTAGGGCCTGAACTTTGATGAGGACTGGAAGCTACTGACCATTCTCATAGGCATGAACGACATCTGTGATTACTGCAAGGATAAGGTCTGTGTCATTATAATATGCAGGCTATGCAACTTCATGTGTATATCATAAAGAAAGTGCAGAGGTGTTTACTTTAGCGCTTGTTTCAACCCTCTCCTTCCCAGGTTCTTTTCTCAGTGGACAACTACATTCACTACATGACGAACTCCTTGGAAATGCTAATGAATGAGGTAACATCGGGAGAGCTCACAGATATGATCTATTAATATTTTTTTCTAATCCCTTAAAGCGGCAATCGGCAGTTGAAACAATAACAAAGCGTAACCCCCCACACCTGTTTTGGTAAAAAGCTGATGGATAGGGGTGGAGAAATGACATCACTCTCAAATTCATAGACAGAGCTATGGATGCAAGGACTGACCATCTATGATATAAAAATTATAGTTTTAACCATGTTTTGAGGCTATAGTGTTTGTTTACGTTTACTTTGTTTATAAAAATTGGAGAATTTACCTTCCACGGAGTTGCATTATTTTCCAGAGAACGCATAGAGCCCCGAGTTGATTATCCGTTTTGTACCATGGCTATAATTTAGCACATTTAAAGCTAGAAATGTGTTCATTTGCAGGTAGAAATTTGTTCAACATCCACTGAAGTAGCTAGCAAGTTTACTAGATAGCGACAGTAGTTGCCTTGGTAACCAAACAAACAGACTTGCTAGTTCAGCTAACCAAACCATCAGCCCTAGCTTACTATTAAGAAAATCGAATTCAACAATGCCAATAATGTTTTCAATACGACTTTTGCTTTCAAAAGCAGCTCAAACATAGAACACGTAAGAATGAACTATAGCCATTGAATTCTACCGTGCAAATATACAGTGCGTTATAGGGAAATAATGCACACTCTAGAATGCCCTTCAAGCCAATCAGAAACAAGTACTCAACAATGCCATGGTATAATTAAGTGATAATGCCGGAGAAGACGGTGTTTGGAGGATATATTGGCACGGGTGTTGCTAGGCCCCCAAACACCGGCTTCAGGGGCATTATCACATTTATACAACGGGTTACCAACATATTCAAATCATGATTGACATATTTTCATAAAAAACTTTATTTTTATGAATTTATTCATACTATTTCATCCTTCCACAGGATGTAGTCCCGACACAAATCTAGGGTTGCTACCCAAGCTGGCTGGTCGTTTGTTCAGTCGGTTCGGTTGCCAGAGACGCGACCCAGTCTTTCACTCTTTTTGTTCTGTATCTATGGACGCACCCCAGTCGTTCGTTCTAAATCTTCCTTTGCCATACTGGCTGGCAACGTTCTTATTCCTTGCTTGCTAGCTAGCCACCTATGGTTAACTTATAGTCACGTCAAACAGCAGTGCAGCCAGAATAACAACAGTAGATGCATTTGGATTTGTTTAAGCTGTTTTCTAGTGACATTTATTTGGATGCATCCATAACAATGAGCTAATGAGGCGCGATTTTGCCTGGCATAGAAAATGTGCTCTCTCGTCAGGACACTGTTGTTCAGAGGAGCTAGCCAACAGCACAGCTAACACAATCACTTCAAACTGAAGCTGGAAAGACTGCGAAATAGCTGCACTTCGTTTCGTTTGACCTTTTTTCAATTCACATTTCTTTCCATAAAAATTATGCCAGCTGAGTTCGACTGTCTGAGAGAAGCTGCCTGCCTGTCTGTCTCGTCCCGACTCCCGACACGTTCATTACTATGGGACAGCTGGAGATTGAATTTGAATATTGAAACAATTTTGCAAATAAGACAGACAGCAAGGTTTATACAAATCGCTGTTGAAAACTAAATGTTAGTGTAAAAGAAATGTGAGATAATGTCTAGATGCTTTTTATAGTGGAGATCAAGTTTATAAATTGCCTGGCTGGGCTGATGAGACAGTGGATTGCTCAGTCAGATGAAACAGAGTAAATAGGCATTTTAACATCATAGATTTAGCTGGTGGTAACTTGTGGAATAGACACCGGCTGGAATGCGGTTTTAACCAATCAGCATTCAGGATTAGACCCACCCGTTGTATAATGCATAGTGTATGTGTTTCCATGGCAACGTTTGCATCTCTCTTTGTTGCGGTCATAGAAATTGAATGATTCTAATTCTATGGTTACGGTCTAGGTTCCCCGTATGATTGTGAATGTAGTTCAAATCCTGCCCATGGAAACCCTGAGGCAGGTCCAGAGGCCCACCCCAGGCTGCCTGCTCCAACGGTGAGTGACCTGGCTTTGACCTTTCACCTTAGAAAACAACCGCTACGCACTACAGGGTCAATTTTAGGACACCGTCAGCCTAATACGGTGTACATTTTAGGACACCCTCAGCACCAACAAGCCTCTCGCCTCTCCCCTCCTTGAGCCAATCGTCAAATCTCCTTGAAATGTAAACCATAATGAACTCTTCCCTTGCAGCTACATCATCTTGAAAATATTCTCTAGGGCAGGGGTATTCAACTCTTACCCTACGAGATCTGGAGCCTACTGGTTTTCTGTTCTACCTGATAATTAATTGCACCCACCTGGTGTCCCAGGTCTAAATCAGTCCCTGATTAGAGGGCAACAATGAAAAAAATGCAGTGGAACTGGCTTCGAGGTCCAGAGTTGAGTTTGAGGGCTCTAGGGGCTCCCCATAAGCATCAAAGGTAGACTCAGCAATATGTCATTGTCAGATTATGGCAAGGCAACTTCTGATGCTATTATTGTCTCTTCCCAATGTTTATGTTCCTCTAAGGAGGGCACAAATTAAGACGAGCCAATAATGGCAATCGTGGCAGATTTTAAATCTTTGTGTGGTCAACTTGCTGTATTGTGTATGATGATGTCGCTTATGTGGAACCCCACGTTAATATTTTTGAAGATCAGTAAGGTGCCCTGAATTGTTATGTAACTGAGTTGGATTCTAGGGTCGTCCTCATTAGGACACACCATAGCAAAATGTTTCACAACGTTTCTTATTGGTAGAAGTTCAGGAGGTACCACATTTCATTCCTATTGAACATGACCTTGATTCTTGACCCATCATTTGTTCCAGAGCATTCTGTTCCTGCCTGATCAAGCCCGGGGCCGGTTCCCCTGACCTGAAGGAGCTGGTGGAGATCAACCTAGAGTTTCAGGTGGGTGATTTAGTGGTTAATGCCACCACCTACAGCACACAAACCTACCAGTGTCGGCAGACCTGGGTTTAAAAAACGCAAAAAATAGATTCATATACTTTATCTGTGCCTGTTTGAACCTTAATAAACTAATTGAAAAGTCCCAAACCTGCTAACCCCGCCTATCTGGCACTCCAGGCAGACTCGTTAAAAGTATTTAAACCGATTTTCCTAGTATTTGAAACCTACCCCCTGAGCACCGACCGACGTCCATGGCCTTGATTCCACCCCATCCACAGACTTGTTTTTTGTATGTTTGCCCACTGACAAAGAAATGATCAGTCCATAATTTTAATGGTAGGTTTATTTGAACAGTGAGAGACAGAATAACAACAAAAAAATCCAGAAAAACGCATGTCAAAAATGTTATAAATTGATTTGCATTTTAATGAGGGAAATAAGTATTTGACCCCTCTGCAAAACATTACTTAGTACTTGGTGGCAAAACCCTTGTTGGCAATCACAGAGGTCAGATGTTTCTTGTAGTTGGCCACCAGGTTTGCACACATCTCAGGAGGGATTTTGTCCCACTCCTCTTTGCAGATCTTCTCCAAGTCATTAAGGTTTTGAGGCTGACGTTTGGCAACTCGAACCTTCAGCTCCCTCCACAGATTTTCTATGGGATTAAGGTCTGGAGACTGGCTAGGCCACTCCAGGACCTTAATGTGCTCTTCTTGAGCCACTCCTTTGTTGCCTTGGCCGTGTGTTTTGGGTCATTGTCATGCTGGAATACCCATCCACGACCCATTTTCAATGCCCTGGCTGAGGGAAGGAGGTTCTCACCCAAGATTTGACGGTACATGGCCCCGTCCATCGTCCCTTTGATGCGGTGAAGTTGTCCTGTCCCCTTAGCATAAAAACACCCCCAAAGCATAATGTTTCCACCTCCATGTTTGACGGTGGGGATGGTGTTCTTGGGGTCATAGGCAGCATTACTCCTCCTCCAAACATGGCGAGTTGAGTTGAGCTGAGCTGCCATGAGATCATTGACAAGATCCTCCCGTGTAGTTCTGGGCTGATTCCTCACCGTTCTCATGATCATTGCAACTCCACGAGGTGAGATCTTGCATGTAGCCCCAGGCTGAGGGAGATTGACAGTGCTTTTGTGTTTCTTCCATTTGCGAATAATCGCACCAACTGTTGTCACCTTCTCACCAAGCTGCTTGGCGATAGTCTTGTAGCCCATTCCAGCCTTGTGTAGGTCTACAATCTTGTCCCTGACATCCTTGGAGAGCTCTTTGGTCTTGGCCATGGTGGAGAGTTTGGAATCTGATTGATTGATTGCTTCTGTGGACAGGTGTATTTTATACAGGTAACAAGCTGAGATTAGGAGCACTCCCTTTAAGAGTGTGATCCTAATCTCAGCTCGTTACCTGTATAAAAGACACCTGGGAGCCAGAAATCTTTCTGATTGAGAGGGGGTCAAATACTTATTTCCCTCATTAAAATGCAAATCAATTTATAACATTTTTGACATGTGTTTTTCTGGATTTTGTTGTTGTTATTATGTCTCCCACTGTTCAAATAAACCTACCATTACAATTATAGACTGATAATTTCTTTGTCAGTGGGCAAACGTACAAAATCAGCAGGGGATCAAATACTTTTTTCCCTCACTGTAGTTCAGTACAGTAGAGCACAATAGAGTATAGTACAGTATAATGTACTGTATTGTACCCTACTGTACTGTACTACACTGCACTCTACTGTGCTCTACTGTACTGTGCTATGCTGTCCAAACTTGTAAAACATAGACGTCTATGATTGGTTTAGACATGGTCCGGTCCGGACTGACCATATTTGGTCTTGTTTGGGGGCGGAGCTCATTAAAATAATACCCAGTGTTAATTTTTGCATTTGCATTTGTCATTTAGCAGACAGTCTTATCCAGAGCGACATTCAACCAAGGTAGATAAACAACCACATATCACAGTCATAACAAGAAAAACGTTTCTATAACCGTTACTGAGAATGTTATTGTAGTTGAAGTGTACTTTCTGTAGTTTTTTTCTGTTGGTCTGGAAACTTTAAACATGACCACTGCCAGTTCTAAAGCTTTTGAAAAAGCTAACATAAATACATGTGACAGGTGGGAGCAATAATAGATATTTCATACTGCAATCATCAGTTGGCTCCATATTCCTATTTAAATTGGAATTAACTTTTTGGAATGTGAAATAGTGATTTCTTAATTGACATGTAGTTTTATCAATGTCCGTAAAATAAGTATTTTCAACTTTCGGAAAATAGATATTTTGAATGTCCGGAGAATACGTATTTTCAACGTCTGGAAAATACGTATTTTCAATGTCCAACCTTACAGCAGTGTGCATATTTCTGTTCTAGCCCTGCACTAACACACACCTCATTAACTCTGCAGAAACGGCTAGAGCAGCTCCTCTACAGTGATAGCTTCTTCAGGGAGGACTTCGCCGTTGTTCTCCAGCCCTTCATGAAACACGCAGACCCTCCTCGCCTCCCGGTAAAGTTTCTCGACTTTTACCTGGAATCCTTTTGCTGTTTCTTTTGCTGTATATATATATATATACAATACCAGTCAAACGTTTGGACACCCCTACTCATTCAAGGGTTTTTCTTTATTTTGAATATTTTCTACATTGTAGAATAATAGTGAAGACATCAAAACTATGAAATAACACATATGGAATCATGTAGTAACCAAAAAAACTGTTAAACGCATTATTAGATTCTTCAAAGTAGCCACCATTTGCCTTCATGAAAGGGTGGCTACTTTGCACACTCTTGGCATTCTCTCAACCAGCTTCATGAGGAATGCTTTTCCAACAGTCTTGAAGGAGTTCCCACATATGCTGGGCACTTGTTGGCTGCTTTTCCTTCACTTTACGGTCCAACTCATCCCAAACCGTCTCAACTGGGTTGAGATCGGGTGATTGTGGAGGCCAGGTCATCTGATGCAGCACTTCATCACTCTCCTTCTTGGTCAAATAGCCCTTACACAGCCTGGAGGTGTGTTTGGGGTCATTGTCCTGTTGAAAAACAAATGATAGTCCCACTAAGCCCAAACCAGATGGGATGGCGTATCACTGCAGAATGCTGTGGTAGCCATGCTGGTTAAGTGTGCCTTTTATTCTAAATAAATCACTGACAGTGTCACCAGCAAAGCACCCCCACACCATCACACCTCCTCCTCCATGCCTCACGGTGGGAACCACACATGCAGAGATCATCCTTTCACCTACTCTGCGTCTCACAAAGACACGGCGGTTGGGACCAAAAATCTCAAATTTGCACTCATCAAACCAAAGGACAGATTTCCACCGGCCTAATGTCCATTGCTCGTGTTTCTTGGCCCAAGCAAGTCTCTTCTTATTATTGGTGTCCTTTAGTAGTGGTTTCTTTGCAGCAATTCGACCATGAAGGCCTGATTCACGCAGTCTCCTCTGAACAGTTGATGTTGAGATGTGTTGGTTACTTGAACTCTGTAAAGCATTTATTTGGGCTGCAATCTGAGGTTGGTAAGCAGAGGTAACTCTGGGTCTTCCTTTCCTGTGGTGGTCCTCATGAGAGCCAGTTTCATCATAGCGCTTGATGGTTTTTGCGTCTGCACTTGAAGAAACTTTCAAAGTTCTTGAAATGTTCCGTATTGACTGACCTTCATGTCTTAAAGTAATGGACTTGGTCTTTTACCAAATAGGGCTATCTTCTGTATACCACCCCTACCTTGTCACAACACAACTGATTGGCTCAAACACATTAAGAAGGAAAGAAATTCCACAAATAACTTTTAAGAAGGCACATCTGTTAATTAAAATGCATTCCAGGTGACTAACTCATGAAGCTGGTTGAGAGAATGCCAAGAGTGTGCAAAGCTGTCATCAAGGCAAAGGGTGGCTACTTTGAAGAATCTCAAATATAAAATATATAATATTTGTTTAACAGTTTTTTGGTTACTACATGATTCCATATATGTTATTTCATAGTTTTGAGTCTTCACTATTATTCTACAATGTAGAAAATAGTAAAAATACAGAAAAACCCTTGAATGAGTAGGTGTGTCCAAACTTTTGACTGGTTCTGTATATATAAAAAGCTATGTGAGATAATCATGCATGGTAACACATTCACAGAGACATTTATGAATAAATTCATGATCTGTCACTGTTGTGATGTTTATGTCTCTCCGAACAGAGTGGCAAGATCGACATGACCTTCTTCACCCATGACTGCTTCCACTTCACCATAAAGGGCCACGAGGAGCTAGCCAAGGGACTGTGGAACAACATGGTGAGCGCTACATAATGCTAAAAGGATGCTATCAAGATGCTAATATCTAGCTAGCGGGGTCAAAGGTCATGAGCATTTTTCATACAATTTCTCCATTCAGTCTGCGACTAATGACTGGTATCCCAACACCCTTTTATATACATGCTGAATGTAACTCCATACACTGCATATGTGAGGAATGTTGTAATTGTTTATGGAGTATTTAGAAGTGAGCATGACAAGAAATAACAGAAAGGTACAATAGTTGAAACATGAGTGATGACATCATCAGATGTTTCATATCTCATTTCCCCAGTTCCAGCCAGACGGAGGGAAGTTTATGGTGTCAAGCTTTTCTGACCCCATCGAACTCATCTGCCCACCCATGGTAAGACTTGAGCTGTGACTGAGTGTCCTTTCTTTGTATTTGTTACTATTATATATATATATTAAAGATTAATATATTATATTATGATAGGGGAATGGAGGTAGGAATATGATACAACTCAAATCAAAGTTTATTGGTCATGTACACAGTTTAGCAGATGTTACTAGCTCTTAACAATGCAGTAAAATGTCAAACAAGTACACAAATAATCATAAAAAAAACATTAAAAAAAACAAGAAATCTTGAAATGTCATAACGAATACAATTAACCCAAATACTGTAGCACTGTAACAGTAATCCAAATGCAATCTACAGTGCCTTGCAAAAGTATTTATCCCCCTTGGCGTTTTTCCTATTTTGTTGCATTACAACCTGTAATGTACATGGATTTTTATTTGGATTTCGTGTAATGGACATATACAAAATAGTCAAAATTGGTGAAGTGAAATGAAAAAAATAAGTTGTTTCAAAGAATTCTAAAAAATAAATAACGGAAAAGTGGTGCGTGCATATATATTCACCCCCTTTGCTATGAAGCCCCTAAATAAGATCTGGTGCAACCAATTACCTTCAGAAGTCACATAATTAGTTAAATAAAGTCCACCTGTGTGCAATCTAAGTGTCACATGATCTGTCACATGATTTCAGTATTTATACACCTGTTCTGAAAGGCCCCAGAGTCTGCAAGACCACTAAGCAAGGGGCACCACCAAGCAAGCGGCACCATGAAGACCAAGGAGCTCTCCAAACAGGTCAGGGACAAAGTTGTGGAGAAGTACAGATCAGGGTTGGGTTATAAAAAAATATCAGAAACTTTGAACATCCCACGGAGCACCATTAAATCCATTATTAAAAAAATGGAAAGAATATGGCACCACAACAAACCTGCCAAGAGAGGGCCGCCCACCAAAACTCACGGACCAGGCAAGGAGGGCATTAATCAGCGAGGCAACAAGGAGACGAAAGATAACCCTGATGGAGCTGCAAAGCTCCACGGCGGAGATTGGAGTATCTGTCCATAGGACCACTTTAAGCTGTACACTCCACAGAGCTGGGCTTTACGGAAGAGTAGCCAGAAAAAAGCCATTGCTTAATGAAAAAAATAAGCAAACACGTTTGGTGTTCGCCAAAAGGCATGTGGGAGACTCCCCAAACATATGGAAGAAGGTACTCTGGTCAGATTAGACTAAAACTGAGATTGTTGGCCATCAAGGAAAATGTCTGGCGCAAACCCAACACCTCTCATCACCCCGAGAACAATATTCGCACAGTGAAGCATGGTGGTTGTAGCATCATGCTGTGGGGATGTTTTTCATCAGCAGGGACTGGGAAACTGGTCAGAATTGAAGGAATGATGGATGGCGCTAAATACAGGGAAATTCTTGAGGGAAACCTGTTTCAGTCTTTCAGAGATTTGAGACTGGGACGGAGGTTCACCTTCCAGCAGGACAATGACCCTAAGCATACTGCTAAAGCAACACTCAAGTGGTTTAAGGGGAAACATTTAAATGTCTTGGAATGGCCTAGTCAAAGCCCAGACCTCAATCCAATTGAGAATCTGTGGTATGACTTAAAGATTGCTGTACACCAGCGGAACCCATCCAACTTGAAGGAGATGGAGCTGTTTTGCCTTGAAGAATGGACAAAAATCACAGTGGCTAGATGTGCCAAGCTTATGGAGACATACCCCAAGAGACTTGCAGCTGTAATTGCTGCAAAAGGTGGCTCTACAAAGTATTGACTTTGGGGGGGGGGTGAATAGTTATGCACGCTCAAGTTTTCTGTTTCTTTGCTTATTTCTTGTTTGTTTCACAAAAAAAAATATTTTGCATCTTCAAAGTGGTAGGCATGTTGTGTAAATCAAATGATACAAACCCCCCAAAAATCAATTTTAATTCCAGGTTGTAAGGCAACAAAATAGGAAAAATGCCAAGGGGGGTGAATACTTTCGCATCCCACTGTATACACTACCGGTCAAAAGTTTTAGAACACCTACTCATTCAAGGGTTTTTCTTTATTTTGACTATTTTCTACATTGTAGAATAATAGTGAAGACATCACAACTATGAAATAACACATATGGAATCATGTAGTAACCAAATAAGTGTTAAACAAATCAAAATAAATTTTATATTTGAGATTCTTCAAATAACCAACCTTTGCCTTGATGACAGCTTTGCACACTCTTGGCATTCTCTCAACCAGCTTCATGAGGTAGTCACCTGGAATGCATTTCAATTAACAGATGTGCATTCTTAAAAGGTAATTTGTGGTTTTCTTTCCTTCTTAATGTGTTTGAGCCAATCAGTTGTGTTGTGACAAGGTAGGGGTGGTATACAGAAGATAGCCCTATTTGGTAAAATACCAAGTCCATATTATGACAAGAACAGCTCAAATAAGAAAAGAGAAACGACTGTCCATCATTACTTTAAGACATGAAGGTCAGTCAATACGGAACATTTCAAGAACTTTTAAAGTTTATTCAAGTGCAGTCGCAAAACCATCAAACGCTATGATGAAACTGGTTCTCATGAGGACCGCCACAGGAATGGAAGACTCAGAGTTACCTCTGCTGCAGAAGATGTTCGTTAGCCTCAGAAATTGCAGCCCAAATAAATGCTTCACAGAGTTCAAGTAACAAACATATCTCAACATCAACTGCTCAGAGGAGACTGTGTGAATCAGGCCTACTGAAGGACACCAATAATAAGAAGAGACTTGCTTGGACCAAGAAACATGAGCAATGGACATTAGACCGATGGAAATTTGACCTTTGGTCTGGAGTCCAAATTTGAGATTTTTGGTTCCAACCGCCGTGTCTTTGTGAGACGCGGTGTGGGTGAACGGATGATCTCCGCATGTGTATTTCCCACCGTAAAACATGGAGGAGGAGGTGTTATGGTTTGGGGGTGCTTTGCTGGTGACACTGTCTGTGATTTATTACACTTAACCAGCATGGCTACCACAGCATTCTGCAGCGATACGCCATCCCATCTGGTTTGGGCTTAGTGGGACTATCATTTGTTTTTCAACAGGACAATGACCCAACACACCTCCAGGCTGTGTAAGGGCTATTTGACCAAGAAGGAGAGTGATGGAGTGCTGCATCAGATGACCTGGCCTCCACAATCACCCGACCTCAACCCAATTGAGATGGTTTGGGATGAGTTGGACTGCAGAGTGAAGGAAAAGCAGCCAACAAGTGCTCAGCCAATGTGGGAACTTCAAGACTGTTGGAAAAGCATTCTTCATGAAGCTATTTGAGAGAATGCCAAGAGTGTGCCAAGCTGTCATCAAGGCAAAGGGTGGCTACTTGGAAAAATCTAATATATATTTTGATTTGTTTAACAGTTTTTTGGTTACTACATGATTCTACATGTGTTATTTCATATTTTGATGTCTTCACTATTATTCTACAATGTAGAAAATATTCAAAATAAAGAAAAACCCTTGAATGAGTAGGTGTGTCAAAACTTTTGACTGGTACTGCATGTATGTGAATGGTGTACATAGACAGTATGGACAGAATGTGAATAGAAAAGGTGTGTACAGCAGTAGTTATATAGGATGAGCCATGGCTAGAATACAGTATATACATATAAAGTGGGTAAAATAATATGTAAAGATTATTAAAGTGACCAGTGTTCAATGACTATATGTACATAGGGCAGCAGTCTCTATAGGTGTAGGATTGAGTACCGGGTGGTAGCCATTTAGTGACAGTGTCTAAGGTTCAGGGCAGGGTACTCTGCGGAGGCCGGCTAGTGATGACTGTTTAACAGTCTGATGGCCTGGAGATAGAAGCTGTTTATCAGTGACCTCAAATCTATTGTTGACCAGTTTCTTTCGTAACTAAAGCTGTTTTGGATGTTTAGGATCACCCCTACATCTACACCCGACCTGCCAAAACAGGCCAGTCCACCATACCCGTTGTCCCCAGGTCGGCTGTTCCAACGCGGGCAAACCTCCTTCTGTCTCCCCTCGTGGTCCTGGCTGGTATTCTGTCCTGGAGCATCACTGCTTTAGCCTCTCTTTAACACTCTATAATACTATAATAAACTTCTAAGTAGGGGGGAATATAGGCAATATGACAGTTGCAGTTGTAATGACAGTGGGTGTTTTTCTTTGTTGCTGCCATGCCTGCATTGTCAAGTATTGAACACAAGAGGGTCTACCAACCCTTGTGTGCTGTGACCATAGAGAATGATAGAGGCCTCTAGTGGCCAAAAGGCCTTATAAGCATGGGCAGCACCATTGATGTCTTTTCATGTAGTCAACTGGCTGATCCCTCCTGGTGACCCTGTTGGAGTCATGTCCAACCGGGTCATCAGGAGGAATCAGCCAAACGTGAAGAAGAAAATTGACTACTTCAAAATGGAGATAGCCTCAATGGCGCTGCCCATGTTGTCACAGACGCTATAATGGTACAGATACAAATATGAGTCCTCTATCTATCTCTATGGCTGTGACTGAAACGACAGAAAGACAAACAATGGAAATCTGATCTTGGAGGTGGACGTGATATGTCAGTGCAATATTTGCCTGTTGGTGACGTCCAATACACACAGAATGACACAAGCTGCTTTAGAAATGAACACCACATTGACTATCTATCATTGAGAGGGGGGTGGGACTGTCAAGAGGCATTGTGCTTTTCCCCTGTGCTGTGGAATAGCCTGTTCATCATTCATCTAATTGTGAACCCCTTCTACAATAAAAATCCACACCAAACAAAAAGGCCAGGTGATGGCTAAATTTAGCTAATCTCATGTTGTTTTAATGAGTTTGCTCTGAGGCTAATTCTTTTAGCATTTTCTGGTTCCTTTAGATAAGAATAGCAATAACCACATAATAAACATTGAGTTGCATTGAGAGAACAATGGGCTGGCTTTGAAAAGAACCTATTTAGGCGAACATGTAAACTGTGAGGTCTCCCATAGGCTATAGGCATGAGATAATTGGTTTTTCGACGGGTAACCTGAGAAACACTTTTTGTTTCCCCGGCCAAAAAAGCCTTTTACAGAAGAACAGTTTGCAGCCACTGCTTTTGACCGTGCACAGTGAATTGAATTAATGGTATTTTTCCCATTTCCTGACTGAGACATATTCATACATATTCAAACGTAACCTTGTATATCTGTTTTAAAGGACAATAAACAGTTTGGCAATTCAACTCATGGAAAGTGTCTTATTGGTCATTTCTATAACATTAGTATAACAAATACTACATTTAATTTGGTAAAATTAATAAAGGTTGATGTATTTCTCATATTTGCCATGATTATTAGGCCTAATAGCCTACTTTGTAAAGGACCTTTTCGACAGTTTATCTTGGTTGGTTCTACAGAACTGTCGTTGCCATCAGCATTAATGTTTCAGTGGATTTCATAATGACTTTGTTATTGTGTTCATTGTAAACACTGTTTTTGTGCAAACACAACCTTACTATCATTTGATACAGGACAAACACAGGTCCACCTCCTATGCAAAACTGCCTTTATTCTTTCTAAGAAAGCACTCCGATTGAGCTATCGGAGCGCTGTGCAATAGGACATTTGAGCCTGCAAACACTGCTGAATGTCCGTACGTCTATTTCTCGCTTCTCATTAAGTTGTCTCTCTTTTCTAGTGAAAGAGGTGGAAAGAGCAACAGGATTCATCACAATCTGAGCACCCAGATCGTCAAAGATTTTAGTCATGCAGCAGCAACGGTGAAGAGGTTGAAACAGTGCAAAATATTTCAAATGTATGTATGGACTTGTATGTTGGAGGGCTATATAAAATGCACTTCATTATCCCCTTTCCACTCTTAAAAATACAGCCACTGAGCCCAACCTGGTCTCAGAGCATTTTGTATTATTCTGTACGTAAATCTGAGACACTCCATTTAGTATGATATGTTACGTTTCATATGGTATGTATTAATTTGTGGATGTCCATCATCCATTTCATATGATATGTTATGAATGACAATTAGAATTATATGTTACGAATTTGCAAAACGTACAATATGTTATGAATTTTCTAAATGTACAATATGTTATGAATTTGCTAAATGTACAATATGTTATGAATTTGCAAAATGTATGATATGTTAGAAATTCTCACTAGGTGGCAAACGTTAGCTAGCTGGCTAATGTTAACTAGGCTAGGGGTTAGGGTTAAGTTTAGGGGAAGGGTTAACTAATAGGGTTTAGGTTACGGTTAGCTAACATGCTAAGTAGTAAGTAGTTGAGAAGTTGCTAATCTGTGATGAGATTTGAACTCGCAACCTTTGGGTTGCTAGACGTTCACATTATACACCTACCCATCCACCCTGACCAACCAACCTACTTTCAATTTTGCCTTAAGTAACCATCTGTCTGATGTTACCATACCAAACATAACATATCATAGTAATTTGAGTGTCCCGGATTTGCATTTACTATGTTATATCTAGTCTATGAGACCAGGCTACTGAGCCAGATGGGGCTTTAAGCAAGTTATTTCAAAAAATGAAGTAGACCTACTTCCTTCAGAACATAAAATGCATTACAAGCTGGTAAAAACAGATAGTATTACTAAATGCTGAAAAGGTGGGTCTTAAGATCTTTCTTTAAAATGGTCTACAGGCCTCCGGCAGGCTTTTCCAAAGGCCAGGAACACCATTGTGGCTGAATGCAGCCTCACCAAACATTTTGGTTCTTACTTTGGAACAACTAAAAGGTCAGTGCCAGAGGATCTGAGGGACCAACCAGGCACATATTTAGGTGCAAGGCCAGGAACTGCTTTAAAAATCATTAAAGCCATTTTTAAATCCATTCTAAGATCGAAAGAAAACAGGAGAAAAGTTGTTGTTTCATCAGGTTTGTTCTTCCTTCAAATGATATAGTGTATTGTACCTACCTAACACTGTAGGCACCAACAATAAATTAAAATGTATATCCATATAAAAGGATTGTTCTGAAAAGACCTGCTGTCACTTCATAAAGGACTTTTGGCATCAGATGACTCATAAGGGTTGTTCACATACATGCATTGCATAATAAAGGATTCTGGACAACAATTTCCCCTCCCATGGTAATATGGAACATTATTGAAATAGTATAATTAGGTGTATCTTTAAGTAAGGAACAATAAGATGTTTGTACTTACTAAACAGGATGAAAAAATAATCATGCATTTATACTCCAGAAGGATGCATCAGATTCTAAATGATTTACCATGGAGATTGGGGAATGACCTTTGACCTCCTGTTTATGGTTGTAGTAAATCTAGTACGCCCAGGGTGTTGTATTACAGACTACTGACTGTAAATTGCTGTGGATAAGAGTGTCTGCTACTAAATAACCAAAATATAAATGATTGTATATAAAATCCTATGACATTGCAATCTCCTATCACAATGAGATGACTGTGCAGAAACAGTCTACATCTAAAGTGTGATGAGCGCTGGACATACAAACATTACAAAATAGACAGAACCTTCATAAGCCAAGTATCTAAGGTAAGGGCTCTATTCAATCTGTAAAGCTGAAGTTTACAGATTCCGCGATAGAAATGTGAAGGTAATTTCCGATTGAGCATACATATGCAGCGTTTACAGTGAATGCAGAACATTGCCTTTAAAGCTGCAATATGTAACTTTTTGGGCAACGCCACCAAATTCACATAGAAATGTTAGTTATAGATCTGTCATTCTCATTGACAGCAAGTCTAAGAAGCGGTAGATCTGTTCTATATGTGCTATTCCTATGCTTCCCATTCTTAAGTTTCGTTTTTGCATCTTTTACTTTCGGTTTTGTAGAGGGAGAACTGGGAGTAAAGTAACACTGTTTTCTTCCTAATTACTCAGAGATAATGTAGATAGAGCTAGAGACACCATATTTTATGACAAATAATTTATACATGTCCTCTACCATTAGCAACTGTAGTTTCATTTCTAGGGTAAATGAGTTGAAATTAAATAGACCGAGAACATAACTACTGTCACCTTACTTTTATACCTACAGACAGGATCCCCTGTAGCTCAGTTGGTAGAGCATGGCGCTTGCAATGCCAGGGTTGTGGGTTCGTTTCCCATGGGGGAGTATGAAAATGTATGCACTCACTAACTGTAAGTCGCTCTGGATAAGAGCGTCTGCTAAAATGTAAAATGAGTAACACAGCCTTGGAACGGAAGTAACAGCTGGTGAGAAGTGCACAATATCTTTCTGGTTTGTAATGTTTTTTACTTTCAACAAATGTACTATCAGCCGTGATTTCATGTTTGTGTTGATTTGAATAATTAATGCTATAGGTTCACAATTTATGAAAATGAACCATGCGTCAACATTGCAATGATGCGCAACCACAACATTTTGCCAGACAGTATTAATCGGACTAAAATGGATCACATAATAGCTATGCAGAAATCGCTCTGCCATTTCCTGATTACTAAAAATCTAATAGTTTGCCTAATTTCAGTTTATGTGACAAAACAAGCAAGTGTAGTGTAGAGAATCATTGTACTGTCTAAACTGTTGTGAAATATATTTTCCATAACCAAAAATATTGTATTTTCAGCTGTTTAAAGCTGGTGTACAAAACCGAAAGTAAAAGATGCAAAAATGAAACTTAAGAACAGGAAACATAGAAATGGCGCACATAGAACATATCTACCACTTCTTAGACTTGCTTTCAATGAGAATGACAGATCTATAACACACATTGCTGTGTGAATTTGGTCTGGTCGCCCAGAAAGTTACTAATTGCAGATTTAACCATCATTTTCTGATCTCACTTTAATGACAATGTAGTAGGAGATGTTTTTCCCAATTTTCAATGACTATTTAAGCTTAGCCCTATCAGTCAGGTGCACTCCAGTTGTCCTTGTAATGCGCGCTCCTCGTGTCTTGATAGAATAAACATCTTTATTCACTTTACAAATGGCAAACTCATCATGCTTATCACATTTCCATGGCTTGACATAAGATAATTGACCACCAGAATCATAAAGATATTTATTGTTTTACCACTAACCTGTCGATAAATTGTTATGTGAGAAACCGATCCATCAAGTCAATTGATTAAGGCATAATTCTAATGATATCATATCATTTAAAAAAATTCAGTCATTTGTTGTGGTACTTTGGTCCCACCAGTCTCTCCTGTAACTTCTCCCAGGCTAACACCCAACACTAGCTAGCATGATACTTGAAACCTATGCTGTCATTTAGCCAGTGGTGTAAAGTACTT